CGCGGGCAGAGCGCGGGCCCCGCGGGTTCACGCTGCTGCGAGGCGCCTGGCAGAGCAGCAGTGGGCACCAGGGAGGGGTGGGGTGGGGGCAGAGCCCCCCCCCGGGGGCCCATAGGATCCTAGGGAGTCGCCCCCAGGCGGGAGCGCAAGGCCACTGGCACCCGCACCCACGACCTCTGACCTCCCCAATGACCCCTGACCTCCCTGACAAACCCTGCCTTGGACATCTGTATATAAAGAAAGAAGCTGGCTACTCAGGAGGCTGAGATCTGAAGATTACGGTTCAAAGCCAGCCCGGGCAGGAACATCCGGGAGACTCATCTCCAATAAACCACTAGAAAACCAGAAGTGGCGCTGTGGCTCAAGCAGTAGCTCGCCTTGAGCTGAAGAGCTGAGGGACAACACTCAAGCCCAGAGTTCAAGCCCCATGACCAACCAAAAAAAAAAAAAAAAGAAGTGTTGCAGCTCTCCTGGTTGCTTTCCTAGCTGCACAGGAGGCTGAGATCCGAGCACCTCGGTGGTTCGAAGCCAGCCCAGCAGGAAAATCTGTATGACACTAACCACTAATCAACTGCCCCTAAAAGTCGGCCTTCAGCAACAAAGCTAAGGGGCAGCGCCTCAAGTTTAAGCCCCAGTACTCACACAGTAAAGGAAAACAACAAAAATCACCCAATAACAACAACAAAACAACAGGGCCATGGAGTGAAAAGAGGGGAGGGCCCTGGTGGCTCTTCACAAATGCGGTGAAATCCAGGCCTTGTGGGATGCCCTGGCCTCGGTCAGACCCAAGCAGGACCAGGGCTCCCAGGCCTGCACAGGGTTGGTCTTGAGCACTTACAGGGACACCAAGTGCCCATCTACTTCATCTTCTCCCTGCCATGATCTCCCCCACCCCCAGTCAGGGCTGCCCGTGCCCGTGGGTGCCTGCTGAGCGCTGAGGTGAGCCCCAGGCCCAGCCAGGCCCCCGCAGCCCTCGTGTAAGGGCGGCACCCTTACCTTTCAACAGCTGGCAGAACTCCTTCAGCAGCACTTCGGGTGCAATCATGGCACCGGGAGGTCCTGGGGGTCCTGGGGGCCCAGGGGGCCCAGGCAGGCCGAGCTGGAAGGGACAGCCAGGGAGCTGGAAGTCACCAATGGCCCCTCCTCTGGGTCCTGCCACTGGGGACAGGCAGGAGAGCCCTCCTCCCCCCTGCAGCAGAGCGGGGCGCTGGCCTTCCATGAGGAGTTCCCTCAGGGTCTCAACTGCCCTGAGGCACACCAAGCTGCGGGCCCAGAGTGGATGCCTGGCACTGGGGGTGTGAGCTCGCTGGGAGGCCCCGCTAGGCAGAGAAGGAGGCAGCCCCCCTGCGTGGAGGAACTGGGCAGGGCCAACTGAGTCAGAGCAAGGCTCTGGTGCCGCCTATCCCCAGCCCTGCCCCCCATGATCCGGTCAGACCCTGGGCAGGGGAGGGTCGGCCTCCGGACAGAGGCCAGCGCCCGGGATGAGAGCGCACCCGTGATCCCAAGCTGCTTTTTGGAGGCTCAATGCTGAAGGCAGCCAGCAGATTCAGCATTGAATGCTGAATGCGGGTGGGGTCACTTCAGCCCACCTGCTGGCTGCACCACCAGGTACTCGCATCCAGGGTTGTGAGGAGAAGGGCTGGAGCCAGGACCCCTGTTGCCTCCTCCCCTGTCCCCCTTCAGGACCCCCGCCTGGGCTCCTTGGGCTCCCCCTGCTTGTGTTGCCAGAAATGGCTCCCTGCGCTAAGGAGCTGAGGGCAGGGGACGCGTGCTGCTCACCTTCAGTCCCCTGTCCTTGTCCCTGCTCCTCCTCCTGCCGTTGGCGCCCTTGTCACTCTGCCTGACAAACAGCATCCAGGCGTCCCGGGGGTCGACGCTGTGTGTTCGCTCCGTGGTGGGCTCCTGGAACACAGCCAGCCCCCAGATTGTCTTCCTGCCAGTACCACGCAGCATGCTTTGCAGGAAGCAGCCTTCAAGGGCTGTCCTGCAGAGTACGCCCAAGTCACCTGGGTACCAGAGTCACCAGCCCCTCCCCATCCCTTCCTTCCAGCCCATGGAGGATGACACTGGGAGCAGCCACACCATAGCCTGGCCTCTGAGCTCCAGGACAGGCTGGAGGAGAAAGATGGAGTTTGTGGTTCCACAGCAGGTGTGGTCTGCTCTTCCAGTCCTTCCTCGAGATGATGCGGGATGACCACCCTGCCCCTGACGGTGACCACAGTGCTCTGATGCGGCAGGACCCTGGCTCCCCCATGCCTCCTGCCCTCTCCAGGGGCCAAAGTTCCAGGGAGGCAAGGTCAGCCTCGGGCTGGGTCCCGGGCGCATGGGTGGAGGTCAGCCTCGGGCTGGGTCCCGGGCGCATGGATAGAGAGCCAGGCGAGCTGGGGAGACGCCGTGACTCAAGGCCTCTGCACGGGATGTCTGTCTTCCTCAGTCTTCTGAGACTCTGACCCAAGCAAGATATTTCCAGAAATACCCACTCCGGCCCTTCCGCAAGGGAGGCTCCTCAGAGGATGTTACCCTCAGGTGGCCTGGGCTCCAGGCAGCACCGCCAGCTGGGATGAGGGAAGCGGCCAGAGAGGGCTTAGATGAGGTCATGGGCCTGGACTCTGATGGCCACTGGGTCAGTGACGGTCCCAGGATTTTAGGGCTGGCCAGGCGGTGCTGCCACACACAGACCGGCCAGGTCTCAGCTCCGTGGACTCTGGTGGCGGTGTGTTGGGAAGACGAAGGGTTGTGTGGCCGGATGGGGAGAGGCCGGTGAGCCCAGGACCTCTCTGTGCTCCCCTGCGCCTCGCTGCGCCGACATTCCAAGGCCACCGGAACTGGTGACGTGGTATCACAGGCCCACCGTGCGCTTGGTGGAAGGAGAGGTGGGAGAAATGCCACGCAGCAGGCCGGGTGTGTGGCGCTCAGCCGCGGGCAAGGATTCGGCCCCAGCCGGCCCGGGAGGAGCACTGCACGCCGGGCTCCAGGAGTCGGGGTGAGGACGGGGGACTTCCCTGGCCAGCCGCTCACTGGGGAGCCTCAGGGCTTGGGACTCTGGGGACACTCTGGTCTGGAGAGAGGGCCCAGGTCCAAACCCCACCTGGGACTCCTGGAGACCATGTCCTAACGTCCCCCTGACTCGCTGGGGATACGGCGCGCTGGGGGTCCCTGAAGAGGGGCCCAGGACGGCTGCCTTTCCCACTCCTCTTTAACGCATGCGCTTTGCTGTCCAGGGTCCTGGGCGGGAGCGCCAGGAGGAAAGGCCCTGGCCCTGGCCCCGGTGGCCCCAACGAGACCAGCCTGCCCCAGCCTCTCCTGCGCAGAAGGCCAAGCCTGCCCAGCCCGGGGCTCCCCCGGGGCCTCCCAGGCCACACGGCAGATCCAGGGGGGGGTACAGGGCGGCCCTGCAGGATCCGGGCACCGCACCCCGACCCCCGTCCCGATGCCGGCTCCCGGGCCTCCGAGGCACCCATCTGCGGCCGACGCGCTCCCGCTCCG